GATCTTCCTTGGACAACCTTCCTTATTGCCTGTATATGTTGAAGCTATACTAGTCTCCATTCGGAATAAAATACTGTCTATATATCTGCCTACAATTCCTGCCTGCTCACCATCCACTGACGATGTTTAGCTTTACTAAGTGGTTTGATGGCATCCGAGATATAGTTTGACATTAATACAATAACTGTGGCTTTGAAATTTATCAAAATGGATTGACTTCCAAGTTCCTGTCCGCCTAGATTTCAGTCTTTTCAAGATAATACTAGTTTGTCAAAAATGTCCCGGTTTTTCCGCTCACAAACAAGATATACCAATATTGATAGGGGGCGCTCACTGATCGTTCTTTTGGAACTCACTCGTTCCGTTGTGCCTTACGGACTCTCTCTCTCGAGCCCAACCAGCAGACGCACAGTGGTGCATGATATAGGCAGAGTGGTATTACCGACAATGACAAGGCAGACTGGAATGGCCATTTCTGGCTTATTAGCCGTCGTCAGCCAGTCATACGCAACCCCAAAGTGTGGAACACCCGAGGCTCGAACTCGCAACCTGTTAGTTAGAAGTCCACGCCTCTAACCACGGGCTCGTGACACAGTGGTTAGCGACGTAAACTTCTAACTAACAGGCCACGAGTTCGACCCTGGGTGTGTCACACTTTGGGGCTGGGTTTGACTGGCTGACGACGGCTAATAAACCAGAAATGGCCATTCCAGTCTCCCTTGTCATTGTTGGTAATACCATAATAAGAACATTCTAAACCAGTTTTTTTGTTTGCTAAAAATGTCGGTCTCATTTATTTTAATTTTGAATAGGACCTTTTAAAATATGTCCTTATGCTAATTCCTTATAGCCTTTGGTTTATCTTTTCAAAAAGATCAGCATAATCCGAACTTACATAGATTTCGATCTCGTAGACGATAGTTAAACCGTCGAGTTCGATGATGTCCATTGTGTGCTTCAGAGTAAGGCGGAGCAGGGACGGTAACTCGTGTGAGTTAGTTTATGGTGATGGTAAACTTGCACACAATATACCGCACTCTCTCTTTCTTACCCCCTGGGTCCGGTGTCAAGACAGAGTTAAGAAGATCAGAAGAAGAAGCGATCGCTGGAACAATGGCTTTATTCGCCTGACGTTTCGGATTCTCTCTTGAATCCATCATCAGAGGCGGTTGCAGAAAAGGGTGGCTAGTGTACAGGCAGTCGCAGTATTTATAGGATGCGGTCGCCATGCTACCGCATACCTGCAGCAATTAACCGTGCTCCCTTCATCAAGGATTGTTGCCCGCTGGTGCGCTAATTGCTTGATGGCCGGCATGCAAGTTGTTAATTGCTGACATCTCATCACCCGTGTTGGATGCTGGCGTGATGATTGCTCGGCCATCTGGCTCACCGGTTTGCGCGCTCCTCGAGTGATCAATTGCTTTGGCCAGTCTATGCCTCAGGACATAATATGGAGTGGGGATGTCGTTGCACTTGTTGATAGACTGAGGTCCCATGAACCATGACTCAAGCAACTCGCGGCTCACGCGATTATCCCCTCTCGAGAGAATTTCGGCGAGAATTTCGATAAGGCCGAAATTCTCGCGAGAGGGGATAATCGTGTGAGCCACGAGTTGCTTGAGTCATGGTTCATGAGACCTCAGTCTATCAACAAGTGCAACGACATCCCCACTCCATATTATGTCCTGAGGCATAGACTGGCCAAAGCAATTGATCACTCGAGGAGCGCGCAAACCGGTGAGCCAGATGGCCGAGCAATCATCACGCCAGCATCCAACACGGGTGATGAGATGTCAGCAATTAACAACTTGCATGCCGGCCGTCAAGCCATTAGAGCACCAGCGGGCAACAATCCTTGATGAAGGGAGCACGGTTAATTGCTGCAGGTATGCGGTAGCATGGCGACCGCATCCTATAAATACTGCGACTGCCTGTACACTAGCCACCCTTTTCTGCAACCGTCTCTGATGATGGATTCAAGAGAGAATCCGAAACGTCAGGCGAATAAAGCCATTGTTCCAGCGATCGCTTCTTCTTCTGATCAACTAGTTCCTGGAACTCGCATCTTCGCTTGTATCGGCAGAGTTAAGAAGATCGGAGGTGGGGGAAGGGAGCAGGTGACTGGCACGTCTGTAGCCGCACCTAGGCGTGCCACCACATCCCCTGGTCAACGCAACAAATGACCAGGATTTTTTCGGTCAACAACAAGAACACCCAAACAGGGACCAGAGCGACGAAGATAACTGGGCAGCCATGCCCACCACCTGTGTACCTAGGGGGAGCGCATCTTCCAGCAGGGCACCAGGTGTCAGCGCACTGCCAGCTCATATCAGGCTGCGAGGGCTATGGTTTGCTGATACTGAAGTAGCCCACGCTTAGAGACGTTTTGATCTAGAAGGGTGACACGTGGTCCTGCATATAGCCTGGACCATCACCCTTCAAGGTTAGGTAACCAAACAGTCTTCGACTGAGAGGCACTACCCGTAGAGTGCACACGCACTCCTCACATACATGAGAGTGTCAGAGCTCACTGAAGAAGGAGTCGCTTCAGCTTGGCTCTCAGCCCACCAGTCCTTCACTCCACGAACACCTACACACACACAGCTGGACAGACTGCGTGAACTGAGTTGGGAAGTCAGTCGGCTCCCTTTCAAGTCATGGCGCTTGACGCACTGTCGTCTCAGATTCCGATCACACATGCAGATGGGGAGCCGCATAGAGAAGGAGCCGAAACACATGCTTCCTACTTACATGGGAGATGACGGTTGGGTGTTTGGGGTTGGTGAGATTAATGTGCGACGAGGTGCTGGTGGGGGAAGCATGTGATGGTGTGATGCAGCCGGCGGTGGTCTACCCCAGGTCTTCGTGGACGTGCATGTGGCCTAATAGATCCATGCGAAGAATAAATGTGCGAGTGCGATGCGGGCAGAGGAGGCGGATGCGGAGAGTGTAGGTTGCTGCTCCAGCCACTGGTTCGCCAGCCCCTGTGTGATGGATTCGCGAGTGGCCAACCAGGCCGATGCTTGAGGTGGATATGGGGGGACAGTGTGGAGATGAGACGTCGGCGGCGCCGGTATCAGCTTCGACGATGGTGGTAATGGACGCGCTGGGCGATGGGTGTGGGTTGGGCTGAGCATACTGGGTGTGCAAGATGTGCTGAGCGTGGTGGAATTGGCGGCGAAGGGCCTGTGGCGACTAGCCATCCTGACTGGTCTGGCGTCATTGTTCAAGACCTCGCTGTCTCAAGGTCATTCACCCCTTGCAGCGAGCCGTCCCAGACGAGCTGACCCGAAGTCACACAACCAGCAGCTCGGGTATACCTGCGTCCGCGCAGTCGCATCTGCCCATGCGGCCACTTGAACGTGCCACCCCCTGCAACCAGCGGAACAAGCCACTGGGACACCACCCCTCGGCAAATGCAACACGCACGCTGACTGGCCGCCACTTGAGCTTGGCCCACGAGCCTACAAAAGCGGCTGCCACCACTGTCTCAGGGACTCTCAGGCCTGACTGGACGCAGTCAACACCAGCCCTGGCTTCGCCAGTGGCCACTGCCGCCTGAGAGGACAACTCCGGGTTCTGTGCACAATAAACCCCTCACTCAGGGTCAAAAAAGGACGCAGTCACGCTGGGCATACCTCTCTGCTGTGCCGCAACAACTGTTGACCCGACGTGATCGACACGCAATCTGCAGACGTGGCTGAACTCAACCGCCACAAAATTCCCACTCGACTTCGCCTTGCTGTTTTTCCTGTGTCACACATCGTGTCCACGAATAGGAAAATGCGGCTGCCGTCACCCTGTCGCGATTCGAAATGGATGCTATCAACAAAACTCTGCCATTCAAGTCCAGGTCAAACCTCAGTCAAACTGTGTAGAGCAGTCCTACAAATGTGTTGCCATCTGAACGCCTCACTTTTTTCCGAGACATTCTTCCGTCCATTACCGACGAAACCATCATTCGTGAGTTGCTTGCATACACTCAATATGCCATCGCATATACAGCGATGAACTTTCACACTTTCAACACTGCATTCTCTCCCAATTTTTGTGTCTGGATGACAGTGAGTCTATTTCACTGACGCATTCGTCCGACTCAGCACTCACTGGGATGCCTTGTGTCCGAAACCTTCTTCCGTCTCTTACCAACGTGCCAACTCACCGGCACACGTTGACGAGACCGAGCCAGCACACCCAGGGTTGATGCCTCAACTGCACCTCTGTACAGGTCGCAGCACCCCCACGTACGCGGTCCGAGCTACTCCTGTCATCACCGACACACGCTCTCAAACCCGCATGTGCACTGGCTAATTTTCCACATTTCATCGCCTGCCTCACGATCGACACCATCACTTCGTTCTGTGTCTGGCGGGGAGCTGTGGCGACAAGCCATCCTGACTGGTCTGGCGTCATTGTTCAAGACCTCGCTGTCTCAAGGTCATTCACCCCATGCAGCGAGCCGTCCCAGACGAGCTGACCCGAAGTCACACAACCAGCAGCTCGGGTATACCTGCGTCCGCGCAGTCGCATCTGCCCATGCGGCCACTTGAACGTGCCACCCCCTGCAACCAGCGGAACAAGCCACTGGGACACCACCCCTCGGCAAATGCAATACGCACGCTGACTGGCCGCCACTTGAGCTTGGCCCACGAGCCTACAAAAGCGGCTGCCACCACTGTCTCAGGGACTCTCAGGCCTGACTGGACGCAGTCAACACCAGCCCTGGCTTCGCCAGTGGCCACTACCGCGTGAGAGGACAACTCCGGGTTCTGTACACAATAAATCCTCATTCTGGTGCCTTTTGTCTCTCCCTTTCAACAGTGGGATTCGACCAGGTGGTTGTAGTGCTCAGAACGCACACACTTTCACCGCTTAACCACTACAGGCCCGCTGGTTTGCCGGGTGTGGGCGGGCTAGGTGTGTGGGTGTGCTGGGTGCGTCAGGGCTGCGGTAAATTCCGCTCTCGTGGATATGCAAGTGGCCGAATAGGTCAATGCGGCTCATGAATGTGCGAGGGCAGTGTGGACAGTGATGGCGAATGCGGCGGGTGTAGGTTGGTGCTCCAGGCGATCGATGCGCAATTGACCGACCAGGCCGATATGCGTGGTGAAGGTGCTGCCGCAATGAGGACAGGTATAGACCGGGTCCTCATTACTGGCGTCGACGGCGGTAGTGTTGGTGTTTGTTGGTTTGTCAGAATTGTGTGTCACGTTGGTGTGCGTGGCGGACGCCAAAACGGCAGACGTGGAGGCAGTCGGGGAGGAGGAGGTGAAGTAGGAGGATGGAAGTTGTGGTTCGGGAAGGCGGTCAGAGTTAGTTGACGGCGTAGAAGGCAAGGAAGAGGTGGACGGACAGACGACGGTTGCTGCGGTCCAAGTGCTTCAATTGATCCAAAGGGGCCCAAGAAGTCCATTTGGTACCCGGAATGTCAGCTGACATCGTGGACACATTGGAGATGGCTGTGCGTTGGCTTTGCGAAGTGGGTGCAACTGAGATTTTCGGCATCTTGTTTGGCTTTCGAGGCGGCAATGCGGTTAGCCTAGTAGATCGCTCTGTGCTGACAGGGGCGTTTAAGTCACCAAACACAATCAACTTTTCCGCCTTCGACACAGTCACCAGGAGGGCATGCAGGTTCTCGTAGAATTTGCCCCTTGCGGCGTCAGGACAGGTCATCGGCGGAGCGTAGACGCTGAGAATGGTGGCGAATTTGTCACTCTGAAGAGGCAGGCGGAGGCTCATCATGCGATCGTTGATGCCTTGCGGCAAACAGGGCAGTCGTCCCACGATGACGTTCCGGATGATGAAGGCAACACATGCGTCTCGTCGCTCTGCCTTGGGGCGACCGCTCCAGAAGAAGGTGTAGCCGGCATCCACCTCCTCCAGTTGGTCCTGTTGAGAGAACCGGATCTCGCTGATTGCGGCGATGTCCACCATGTAGCGTGCCAGTTTCCGAGCCACTAGCATCGTCCTCCGTTCTAGTCGGTTGCTCCTTGGATTGTCTTTTTCTCATTCACCTGAGGCAAAGTGGGCTGATACGGCCTTCTCTACGGTGCCTCTTGGGCATCCGCTGATTCTATTATTATTATTATTATTATTATTATTATTATTATTATTATTATTATTATACGATTGGTGTCTGAATAGGTTTCACAACATACTATTCTTAACATCAAAGGTACTAAATAGAGCCCAGACATGTGTTTCGCCGACATTCTGCCGCTGCATGAAACTTTTGCGAGAGGTCCAGTACATCATTGAGTCCCCCAGCGTCACCTGTGTTCTTTTTAGTAGATACTCCAGTTTTGAACTTACAGGTTTTTAAGTTCCTCAGTAATTAATCGTAAACTTTGGAGTAAATCAGTATATATGAGACTTATAGACCACTAGTTACTGGAGAGGACGCCTATATGCATCATTTCGATGCACGGTCAATGACTGATATCACGAAATGTTAGCCAAAATTCTGCAATTTAGTGTCAATCAGGAAAGATAACTTAGGCTGGGCTGCAATATTGACTAGTATGCAGCGTAATCCCATGATATTTCGGACTCACCGGGATATCGGCCCTTAAATGCGGTCTTCTGACCCTCCGAGCAAACCGCACTCGCAAAACATGGCTACCAAAATAGCACGAATGTTTCGCATCGATTTCTGATGACTTTATAAATCCAAACATACTTTTTTAGAAAACATGCACAAAATACTCTTTCTTACATTCATTAATGAGCAAATTACGATTTCTTTGAGGGTTATACTCGAAAAGGGATTACCTCTCGGTTTCAAAAGTTTCTAATTATGAGATTTCTAATTATGAGATTATGTATAGTTGCATAACATCATACATACAGTATAAAACATAACACGCATCCATTATAAAATTATACGAGCTCTATGTGGGATCTTCGTAAAGGTATAAAAAAATATGATTTTTTCAATGCAGAAAGTATACGCCTTATGAAATGGAATCACCAAAAGGAAATGCAACGGTAAATTGGACTTAAAATGATTCAGTAACGGGAAAACCTTTTTAAAACCGGAGGGCACTCTCTCTTCGAAAATAACATTTCGAGAAAGCGTGTTTTACTTCCAAATGAGCACAACAAAGATTTGTTTTGCGTGTCTTCTCTAGAAAATAAATTTGAATTTATAAAGGCGTCAAAATAGATGTAAAAAATCGTACCATTTAAGTAGTCACGTTTTACTGAGCGCAGTTTCCACAGGGAGTCAGAAAATCGCATTAAAAGGCCAACATCCTGGTGAGTCCGAAATATCATGGGATTATGTTGCATAATAATCAATATTGCATCCCCACCTAAGTGACCCTTCCTAATCGAAAACGCACTTCAGAATTTCCGCTAACATTTCATGAAATCAGTCACTGACTGTAAGGTGCGTGCCAATCTCTACTGTGGAGCATTAGCGAAATCGTTTCGTAGTTCACTGTAGCCTACGTCAGCTGACCAAGTCAGTTTATTATGGGAATAAGGCTTCTACCCTTGACCATCCTATAGATACCCTTAAATGGCAATATAATCAATTTTTACACCATTACTTCTGGAAATTTTAAAGTAATTTGTACGTGTGAGCCAGACGTAAAATGCCGCTACTGACGCATCGTGCACAATGGCTTCAACGGTCATGATTCTGAAGTACCTCATAAAAGAGATGGAGAGATTACAGACTTGGTCGGCTTCTGTTTTTAGGATGTAAGCCATACTGTCTTTTTTGCAACTCTAGTATGATATGTAGATCTGTTTTCAGGAATACGGATCGACAGTGCCAAATGAAGCTTATCAGACTTGCCGACTTGTCTCACCGAAGTTAATATCTAGGGGATGCACAGTGAACATCGTAATTGATTGCTTATCCTCAAAACCTCAGTGCTGCTTAAAAGGGCGCTCACCTAAAGAAATATTCCATAAAGGAAAAGTGGTTCTTTTGTTCGCGAATGATGTACAAATTGTTCCGTCTATGATAGTCTTCTTAAACCAACTGTCCCCTGTTAGTGGGGTCCGGTGCTTCCAATATATACCAAAAGGTGTCATGCTTAGAACCTGACACAATCGGGTGAAACAAACAGCAAGGTTTGCCCTGGAATTGCCATTGGTAAAGCTGTCTTCCAGTCTGTCTAAAGGGGAGCCTTCAGTAAAACTGTAAAAAGATTATTGCGGCCAAACCTAGGTCTAATCAGATGAGCAATTAAAATAACCCGGAGACAAACTGAAGCCAAGAAAGTGCACACATACATTTCTTGTCCATTTTATGCTGAATAGCAGGCAAGGTACGTTGGTGAAGGTTGCAAGGCAATGGACAATCTTTGAATAGGATAGCGTAGAAAAGCAATATTCGTTAGGTTTGGTGAATCATTAGCTTGGCAGGCATGTTATGCCCTGCCACAAACGTGTTTATTTTACCTCCCCAAGAGACGGAGAATTACTGGCTTCGTAGTTCAAACAAGTTACTTTTAAATCCCATTGAGATGCAAACGTGGGATTACTCAAAAAACCTGCAAATGACGGTTCGTGACCAATCTCACGAAATGTTAACCGAAATTTAAAAAAGCGTTTTTCATTAGGAAGGAATACTTCCATTTATTTTTAATACTGATTATCAGGAAACAAACTCACAAGATATTTCACTTACACCAGGATGCTGGCTTTTGAATGAACACAGTTTCAGTCCTTGCAATAACTGCATTCGGCGAAAAATGACTACGTAGTACAACTTTTCTCCACTTACTTTCAATTTCCTCATAAATCCAAATAAATTTTATAGAAAGCATGTTCAAAATATCCTTTTTTAATTGTTTGGTAGAAAAATGCGTTTTCTTCCAATCTTTAGCTGGGAGAAAGGGTTTTTAGGTTTTATAAAAGTCAGCCGGACAATTTGGATTCTGTTCTGCTGTTGCATCTACATTTAAGGCTTACAGTCAACAGGTTGTTAAATTTTGATGTAAGGTAAATCATACACTCCCCTATGCTATTACGAGGATAATATATAAGACGCATGAAATTTTCCAATGGATGTGGACTATGTTGTATAGTTTATAAGGAGCATTAATGAACGTCGAGATAGGATACCATTTGAATTGACATTTCACAGTCTTAGAAATGTGATAATTGCAATTATTTACGAGACCGAAGGCTATCCTTTCTTCGGATATGAAATTCGACGAAGACGCAACTTGATACCGAATGATTACAAGAACATTATCTTAAAGCATGTTTTCTATAAAATATGGTCGAATGTATAAAATGATGGGAAAGCAATGGGAAAAGTGCATACTACTTATGCAGTCATTTTCGTCAGGTGCGGCTCCAGCAGACGGCTGAGAAGAAGTGTATTTGAAAATCGGCATCCTGGCCTGACCAAAATATCTCGGAATTATGTTTCGCGGTAATAAATCTTGCGATCCCTTCCATGTGATCCTTCTTAATTGGAATCATATTTCTGAACGTCAATTAACATTTCATGTGATTAATCACTGTCAATAGCGCTTACTTTAATTTACCTTAACGAATAGATGCGAATTTTGTGAAGGTCGAATAATCCTGGGCTTAATTATACCTATTTGAATCTGGGTTAGGTTCCTGAAAGTTTTCGAGCGTTTCTACTATGTATTTTGAATGTGTTTAATGTTCCGAGTATTTTACTTAATTGGCCTCCATCGGTAAGATGTGGTTGGGTAGCTCCACCTGATGGACACAATATTGCTGGAATTGGAGTTAAGGATTAGGGTAGGGGGTTATGGTTAGGAATTAGGGTTAGCGGGTGGGATTTAGGACAAGGGGTTATTGTTTAGGGTTTGGGTTAAAGTTAGAGATTAGCGCAGCTATTTCTCAACCATCCAAAGTACAACCGCGCATTCCCAATAGCTTTTAGTTTGCAGACAATGACCGGACTTCGTCGCCTGTGTGTTCTCCGGCTCCACCTATTACCGCCGGTCCCGTATTAGAGGTGACTGGGGTTTGCTTACTTCAGGTGGGGCTATCAAACCACATCCGGCCGGCAAATCAAACTTGAAAGATTTTGCTACGCTTTGGTAACTACGACCTCAACTAGCCCTTTATCGTCTGACACCGCCACCTTGAGGAAAAAGCTCCTCCTGGCGGCTACGGCCAGGCACGCTTACTCGCCAGACAGCGCCTGACACCAACGTTGGGGGTTTTTGTCATTTCTACTGATAGAGCTTAGCGGAGCAATTTTTACGTTTACTAGGACGATAGATTAGCTTAATGTCATCATAATCCCAAACATAACCAGGTACTTTAACATAACTCCTATCATAACCGTAGCTTCAACCTTAACTGTAACTGCCGTAAGGGGCGTTGTGACATGTTTTAAGTGGGTGGATGACACTCAGACAGCATTACTAACTGAAAATGTTGATTGGCTTCACGAAATTCCCTATAATTTCCCGCAACGTACAGCTCACATCCCTTTGATTAAAATACTCGGGTGCTCAGCGACTACCCAGTTAATTAACTGTCGTCCCCCTTGAACCAGTGGGCATAGATTTGAACAATCTCTTAGATTACGGACTTAATGCCATTCGTGAACAGCGACTCGCGCCCAAAACTCGAGTCCCCTCGAACAACGTTTGAATTTCGTCGATTTAAAAAACACAACCTGACGGGGTACCGGTGTTTCTGACCGGTGCAAGGTCTGATTGGTCTTAGAATTCTTTTCTGCTATTACAGTGCGGTAGCTTGTTTTTGAGAATGCGATATCTACCTTCTGAGGCTAATGTGGTCCAAGGATATCATAGATAAATTAAATACCATGAGACACATCACAGAAGTTGCAAAACGTAAAGTTAAGTTGGACCCCACCAGAATATATCAGCAAACTTTCGAGGGGCAATCGGTCTGGCATTTGTAGAAAATTTGTTAAAAAACGGAAATAAGTACTCCTCCCCCGCATTACAGATGAG